GTTTGAAAGCCGAAGCGCCCAGCATGTAAGAGTTTGAGGGGCTGAAAGTCTGAGGGTGAGTCAGTGAGGGTCTGAGGATTTGAAAGTCGAAGGGCTGAGGGCCCAAAAAGGTAGGCAACGACGCTTTTAAATATTGTTGAACATCATTGCTGCTCAGAGCTCAGAAAACGACTCGGAAAAAATGAGTGAGGGCAGCCAACTCAGAACTGACTTGCGAAGAAGGTAAGCAAGGACGCAAGCTGATGTATAGAATTTACGCCCAAAAAAAAAAGAGTCGCAGTCTTGGAAACTAGGATGCTAACACACTGCGCGAGCAAACTATCTAAGTCTAACAAGTGCGAGTGTAATTCCTGTAGAGCAAACATATATGAGAACATCATGCTGTCGCCCTGCCGACATGTAAACATGCAAACATGTCAGCATATGAACAGTTTTGCAGCGAAAAAATATAATGATAAATTAGTTCATCGGTAGGAGGCTAACACAATGCGAAACAAAATATTTAAAGTTTAAAATGAAACATTTTATAACGGAACTCCATCAGTTAGAATATTCAGAAAAATACACCGGCATAGACCCCAGATAGCATTTTACGAAAAAAGTTCGCAGCAACTTGCGATTTGACATACTCATAAAGCAGCAGATTTTTCCTGCGAATTACCATTGACTGTTTCAGGGCGTTCATGATGGATGACTTTTCGAAGGGCTTGGCGTAGTGCAAACATAACCAGCAACCTCCGTCTGACACTTCCTACCTCCAAGCCACAGGTCTTTCCACGGTAAAACTCGGATGGAGACAAGCTCTTGGGAGACAAGGCGGCAGAGGCAGCCAAGAGCGAAATCATGAAGGGAGACAAGCTTGGGAGACAAGGTGGTACCAACAGCCAAGAGCGAAATCATGAAGAGAGACAAGCTTAGGAGACAAGGCGGCAGCGGCAGCCAAGAGCGAAATCATGAAGGGAGACAAGCTTGGGAGACAAGGTGGCAGAGGCAGCCAAGAGCGAAATCATGAAGGGAGACTTGGGGGACAACATGGCAGCGCCACCCAAGAACGAAATCATGAAAGGAGACAAGCTTGGGAGACAAGCAGCGGCAGCCATTTTCCGCAATCAGTGCCCCAACCATTGAGAAGTAAGAACCCCTATAGCTTCCAGCTATCTGGAGAAAAAAGTAAGCAGTTAGAATATCTTATTTTTGCTATGCGCAGGTTGTTGCATTTTTGCAGTTAGGATGACACAGCCAACTCCGCAGTTAGAATAACCATCTTGTGACACTGAATTCCTTTCATATCTCCCCTTTCGTATTCCTTAACTTGATATGATGATTTCCTTTTTGCTTTGCGAAATAATCTCTCAAGTTTTGTATTCCTTTGATTTCCTCTCATTTCCCCGAATATCCTTGCATACTTCAAAGATTCCTTTGTGCAAAACTTTCTTACCATAGATTTTTCATGCGTTCTTCGTTTTCTTTCATTTATTGATCTCTCACTATCCGGTAGCCCGAGCTTCTCGAATATTCTAAGCGCATTGCCGAAAGCTCATTGCAAAAGGGTTTCCAGCAAAGGACAGCCCACAGTTTCTTGAATCAGTAAAAACACTATGACTATGATAGGCTACGTGTACGTACAACCACTATTCACCATCCAACATTCCCAGGGTCACGGCGGCTATTGGTTTCCCTCTCTTTCCTTTGGTCTTCTTGGCCCTATCTGCTAAGGAATTTGGTTTCTTTTGTGCGTTCCTATAATTTCTTTTGATTTTGTTTGTTTTCCTTTCGTGTTCCTTCCCTGTGATATCTTATCAATTCCTGAAATTTTCTTGCGACCTATGTTTTGTTCAAGTGATGTCATTCCAAACTCCTTTTGTTTTCCTTGACTTCCTTTCATGTTCTATGATTGCCTTTGATATCATCCCTTTCGTATTCCTCTAACTTGATTTGATTTTCTTGTGCTTTGTGGAATAGTTTTTCAAGTTTTGTATTCCTTTGATTTCCTCTCCTTTCCCCTAGTTTCCTTTCATATTTCGTTGTTTTCCTTTCATTTTCATAAAGCTAAATCAATATAAATATACACTATGACTATGAAAGACTACGTGGGGATTTTCTTTCTTTTGGCTTCTTTTGTGTGTTCCTATAATTTCTTTTGATTTTATTTGTTTTCCTGACGTGTTCTTTACCTTTGATGTCTTATCAGCATTATCTTATATTCCATGGGTTTCCTAGCTTTGTTTTCCTTGAATTCCTTTCATGTTCCATGATTGCCTTTGAAATATTTGTTTGCTCTTGACTGCTCCTACCACCACCCACGTCTTGGCAAATAGGAGCCTGCCTACTCTTGACAACTCCTACCTTTCACCTCCCCTGCCTCCCACCTCCCCTGCCTCCCCTGCCTCCTATCCCTCCTGCCTCACTAGTGCATGCGCGTGCAACCTCCCATCTCACCGGCCATGCAACCTGCCACCTCCGGCCTCCCACCTGCAGGGCCCGGTCCTGAAGATATCAGTCTATTGAAAAAGTCAAAGGACATCAAGGAACCCTCTTGTAAAAGTTGGAGAAAGATTGCAATTAGAATATTTGCACCTGTCGTCCTTCACAATCTGTTCGGGCAAGAATATGAAGGAATTGCTCCGTTTCCAAACGCTAAACCGTTGTTGAATAATATTCTATTTGCGGGTTTCGTATATTCTATTTGCATGTGATATTCTATCTGCACTGTTTCTCCCAATATTCCACACGGACGTCCGACTTGAATTTTTGTTTGGCCCGGAAAAACACTGAATATTCTAAGTGCTAGGCTTCCAATAAAGCAAACAGGAAACCTTTAAGTTAAGAGGTCTAACAAATGCGAATGTAATTCCTTTCGCGCGGTACATTTGAGCATATCATGCTGTCGCTCTGTGGGTATGTAAACATACAAACATGTAAACACGCAAACATGCACACATGCGAACATGTCAGCCTGCAAACATTTTATATAGGAAACATGTTGTGATATATCAGTTCATTGGTAGGAGGCTAACACACTGCGTAAACAAACTTTTTAAGAATGACAACTTTTAACAAACAAGAAACCTTTTTCTCAAGAGGCCTAACAAGTCGGAGTCTAATTCCTTTAGCGCAAACACATATGAGCATATCATGCTGTCGCTCTGTCGACATGCAAACATGTAAACCGGAAACATGTAAACATGCAAACGTGTCAGCATGTGAGCAATATATACAGCGAAAAAATGTAATGATAAATTAGTTCATTGGCAGGAAGCTAACGCAGTGCGTAAACAAATTAATTAAAAATGCCACTTTTAAATTAGCAAACAGGAAACCTTTAAGTTAGGAAAACATGCAAACATGGGAAACATGTAATGATATTTTAACATGAGTGTCTTCATGGAGTGTCCTTGCAGTTTTTTCTTGCACCATCATTCACCAAAAGTTTCTTAACAAGAGGGTCTTCCGGGAACCTTTCCCACTTTTTCCCTGCGCCACCATCCCACGGAAGTTTCTCAACAAACGGTTTTCCTTGAGTCTCTTTCCAATTTCTTTTCGGGCACTATCATCCCACAGGAATTTCTTAACAAGAGTGTCTTCCTGGAGACTCTTTCCAACTTATTTTTGGCACTATCATCCCACCGGAGTCTCAACAAAAGTGTCTTCCTGGAGACTCTTTCCAATTTTGCCTGCAGTATCATCCCACAAGGGTTTCTCAAGAACCCTCCTTCCAAAATCCCTGTGCCTATCCGGCCAAAAAATGGCTATAATTGAGCCGTCATTCTCAAAACCCTAGAGCTATCTCAGCCCAAAGACGATTGTAGTTGAACCCTCTTTCCCAAAACCATGGAGGCTATCCAGCCCAAAGATTTTTGGTGGTTTTGGTTATTGGCCCGCAATGAAACCAGCAGCGCCCAGTTCAACCTTGGATACGTGTTGCGCAGCAGCCAGTATGAAAAACTTTTTGAACCAACGTGTATTTACCACAACTGTTTGGGGTCTACGGGGGTGTAATTTGTTTTGATCCCCTTTGGTTTAATTTTTTGTTTCCCCAAACAATTTTACTGTGGGGTTCTCTCTTAGGAAAAAAAGGCTGGCCACAATAGGCTTTGGCCACGCCCTCGAGGCTTGTCCGCCGTGTGCCCGTCTTGTCTCCGGTATGCGTCCGCCGTGCGTTGTCGGCTTTGGCCGCACCTTTTATTCAGATCCACCTTGCGTCGGCTATGTGTCCGCCTTGTGTCCACCTTGTGTTGTCGGCTGCGGCCGCACCTCCAGTCCTTGTCCGCCATGTGTCCGCCTTATGTCCCCCACCATGTGTCCGCTCTGTGTTCGCTTTGCGTCCGCTTTGTGTCCTTTTTTGTTCATCCATTTTTAAAGCTCAGTTGCGAATGAGAGTGAAATATTCACAAAAATTGTTTGGGGTCTATGCTGTGTAATTTTTTGGGGGTTCCGAAAGTTACCCAAAGCGAAAAAATACTGCAGACGGGTTACCAGGCTCAGGCAGGACGAATTAGCCAAAGGGAGTCGTGGATTGGTTGTGCTTCGTAGAAGATTGATGGATGACGATGGATGCCATTTCTAAGTAGAGACACATGCGACTGTGCACGAGGTTGTCTGGGTGTGGGTCAATGAAATCCGCGGAAAAACAACTCAAAATGAAAAGAAGTCAACAACGAGAAGACAGTTGTAGACAGTTGTAGGTGCAGTGAAACCGTTTAGCTATCGAAGTTGCCACGGTGCCACGGTGGTGAGGTCATGAAGCCGACCTTCAATGTCTTCATCACCATGAATCCAGGAACTTCAAGAGTTTGGGCCAGTTGGGCTAATTATTGGAACCACAATGAAGCAACATCGGGTCTCAATACCTGTAAGAATGATTTTTTTCGTTGATTTTTGGAGATGTTTGGCACTTTTGTAGATTTCATTCTCGTTCTCCAGGCTATGCGGGTCGCGCTGAGCTCCCCGACAACCTGGCCGCCTTGTTCAGACCCGTGGCCGATGCCTTGAGAGCGATCTCCTTCATGTTTGAGCTTGTTTGACGTTCTTGCCGAAATAGAGATTTCCATTCTTGAAATTTCACGTGCATTACAAGTCCACACAATAGATGATGGACGATAAAATCTGTTTCTATAAGTCACGTAACCCTGCGCATCGTTTTCTTGATTCGGTGGGCCGGGACGATTGAAAGGCCTTTGTGGGACCAAAAACAGCAAGCCTAGGCGATGATGGTTTCCGACCATGCCTTGATCGGCGAGATCACGTCTAGGGCTTGTTGTCGGACTTTGGGGTCCACCGCAAATACAAAGTAGAAAGAGAGAAGGGAGCGGTCGTTAGGTTGAATAGGAGGTTTTGAATCGGAGAGTCTTTTTCAGAATCTGATAGCTGATAACTTGGAGAGCTTTGCGAGCTTCTCAGGTTCTATGCCTACGGATTTACGGACGCCAAGGTGTTGGCAAAAAAGATGGCAAGGAGCCCCGACTTTTTAAATTCAAGAAATCAGGGAAGGCTTTAGAAGGAGAACTTCCTTCCAGAGGAAGGCAGAGATGAAAAGGAAATAAACATGGCGATCTTAGCCAGTTGGGAAACATGTTCGGGAAGAGAAGAAAGTTTGATCAAATTTAGCATATTTCGGCCAGAGAAGAAAGTTTGATTGCATTCTTTTGATGCAATTTCGGTACATTTTGAGCTGAGATGACGACGTTTACTCTTTTGTCTGAGCAGCTCTCTTCGCAGCGCACTGAGCAAGAAATTCTTTCTAGTCAGTCCCTTCGAATACAGAAAGTCCCTGGATTTGGGCGATGAATCAAAAACTGTCTGGCTAAACCAGCGTAGATAACCTGATTTCAGCGTTTTTAGGATAGGTACTCAAATCACAGAGAAATCTTGCACCGTATTAGGTTCCATTACGACTACGGCATGCCTGCTGTCAAGAGTACCATCGAAATGTGTGGTAAACTGAAGTGAGAGGCCAGTTCACGCTATGCTTCATGTCGTGTTGATGCATTTGGGGCTTTGGAAAATTCTAATGAACTTGCGGGACTTGCGGGGCCAAATGAGTGGTGATGGTCCTACGCAGGTAGGTGACCTACCAGAAGACATCACTCTGCGGATGTGAAGGTGCCCAAGTTCCTGAAGCGGCCAGTTGTTTTGGGGCTGCAGAGCCTGAGGGCCTTAGAGGAATGTACACATTAGCGTCTAATGCAGGAGCTTCTTATTCTCTTGTGGTTCATCTAATTAGAGAACATAGTGCCTGACGCTCCACTCCGGAAGTCCAGTCTCAAATGAGTCCATATGAGAAGATACTAGACTCGTATGTGGTTTTTGACCGCAAATGGATGGGATTACAATGGCTTGGAACCGATCTCAAAGACCTATGGCCACCGGGTCCTTTTGTGGAAGTCCCAGAATGGATCCTTGAAGCTCCAGGATGATCTGCCTCTTTTCCAGTGTGGACACCAAGGGCCATGGGGCGTAAGTCGTTATGATATTTCTTTAGCGAAGGCGTTAGCCAGCGCCTTCGGGAAAGTTCTGTTTGCGAGATATCCGTTCTTCAACCCAGGAAACCATTCTAGATTCTAGCGTGCTTTTTTGTAAGAGTTCCACGCCTGACAAAGATCTAGAATAGTATCTAGAATCTTCGAGCCGCTTCGTTTGTCCCGCTTGAGGTATATGAAATATCTACATCTCAGGCCTGTTCCCTGAAACAGACCGGCCTGTCGGCCTGTGGAGTATGGCAACCTGACTCCGGTGATGGAAGCTTGTGGAAAGGCCTGGTGTTGAAAGTTTTGTCCAAAGAGGTCTACAAGTTTATAGAGTATACATGTTTGTACTGTTTGTACCCTTCAAAATGAAGAGTGAAGAGAGGGAGTCACAAAGAGCACCTCAGGATCCGAAGGACATGCAACTCACCGAGAACTTCACCAAGGCTGGGGCAGCGGAGCGACTGAGTCGACTGGGCACTGCACTGGGCACCGAAGCGGCTGCAAAGCCACCGTAAACGGAACTAAACGGAACCAAAACGACCAACGACCACCAAAGCAGGCCAGCTGCAGCGGTTTTCGAAACACGCCAACAGATTTATGATGGTCAACCGGTCAAACGTAGAAATCAGCTTGTCTTGCATTGTTTTGCAATTGTGAACACTTTTCCTGCGGAGGGAAAATTTCGCAAATCAATGCAGTGACAATCCACGTAGGCTTTAAATTTGCAACTACAGGTCAGTTGGTTTGTTCGTCACAGAATCCGATTCCCTTATTTTCATTTTCATGCTTCATGGATTGCTTTTTGAATGTCCGATCACTGGGTTAGCAGGTGGTAAAACCTGCAACTATCGGTTGCTGCAAGCCACTTCTGACGCCATGTGTGAGGCAAGGCGCTCTTGAAAGGTACATAGCTTCGCCTGGTTGGTCTTTTATGTTCAGACCGGCTTCATAAGTGGATCCAACGCTTCGCCTGTTCGCGAGGCCGGTGACACAGAGTATCAGAAGGTTCAAACCCACATTTTGAACCCCAAGTCCATCACACAGGCAAGCAAGAAGAAGCAAACCAACAGATCTGACACGAATCAATATGGTTTTTGTTGGTGAAGAACATCGGGGAACGTCTCAGAAATCTGTTCTAATCTCAGTGGTTAATCCTCCAACTATAAGAACCCTTGTGGTTGTTGGTAAACGCCCACTAAAGACTCTTTGGAAGGCAACGATGAAGACATTTTTTGCAACCATGCTTGGAAGCCCTAGACCATTGGAGGGGAGCAGCTTGCGACCTTTTCTGGTGTGTTATTTTGTGTGAGTCGTTTGGGCGAAGAGATGTTTTCAGTCCAGCTGAAGTCCCCAAGGTCCAGCTGAAGTCCAGCTGAACACCGTGCTGGACGACAACAAAAAGCTCTGTCTCACTTCCGGTGAGATCATCTCGCTGACGCCACAGATGAGGCAATGGGCACTGATGGGCACTTTGGCTGGGGTAGGAAATGGATGGAAACTGTAGAGGTTTGAAGAGCGACCAGTATGGCTTTAATTATGTCACGTATGTAAGGCTTCAAGAGTCATAGATCTTCAGTTGTCATAGCATTTCTCTGCAGAGAAAATGACTGAACGAAGCTGCGAAAGCTGCGACTCTCAGGATGGTCAAGTGGAAGACTTGTCGCTTGCCTCGCCGGCCACTCAGTGACGAAAGCCGATGCGGGAGAGACATCTCAGTGACGAACGCTCTGAGTCCACTCAGTGTTCCTTTACTTGTGTTCCTACCGGGAAAAGAACACGTGATGTTCCTTTCGGAAAAGTATGGTTTCCATAAAATCAAAACCGCAAAACTGCAATCACCAACACCTTCAGAACCAAGACAGACGACTGTGAGGTGGGACCTCCTGCTCTTGGCAATGAGCCACTGGTTCAGTCAGTGTCCTAGTGTTTCCTTGCAAAGCTTGGCCATGCGTAAGCCGCACAGAGGAAACACCCTGTTCTGATATCTAGGTGTGAAGGTTTGCCCTTTGTCGGTTTGGTCATGAATCATGACCTGTTCTTTGAGATCAGTGTCAGCCATAGCTTTGCTTGGGCAGAGCAAGCAGATGGAGTTTCCAAAAGCAGGAGATGGGCGAGAAACTCAAAGAGCTCTGGCAGCAGCCTTAGTGCATGAAGGGTCGCATGGCAGGGGTGGACCTTAAGGACCTGGTGTTTTTCTGACATGAAGACTCAAGTCGCACTTGATTCCCCTCTACTTCTTCACAATGGTTTGGTCTGTTGGTGCTGTGCTCACATTGAAGGTTTTGGAAGCTTTACATTCTGTTGATTCAAACTGTTTCATTCAACAGCAGTTGTGAACTGAAAAGAACTTGCTTCAGCAACATGCCTTGAGCTTCAGGTGCTACGTGTGACAACAAGGGGCGACAGATCGTGAACGTGGCTTGGCGGGCATTTCATTGACTGCAGGCTTTGGGCAGAATGCAACCCACCTGTAGGCTTGGTTTTTTTCTGACATTAAGTTGCTGCAACAGCTTTCTAACATTTTCCAACATTGAATTATATAGTCCAAATGGTGCTTACTGTATGTACAAGCTCTCTGGGAAACAAACGACCGAGGACAAGCTCTGGGAGATGGTGAAAGAGAAAAGAGTGGAGGTGGATTTTGAGCTTTTGAAAGGATCTTCATGGGGCGGCAAATGTATATAGCCACCATAGCGGTAGCGTTGCTAACCGTTAGCATGACAAATCACCTAACCAAAGAAGTACAATAAAACTTTGCTGCAAAGCCAAGTTGCGTGAGCTCTGCGCTCAGCTTGGTGAAAATGTCAAAAAAATGAGATAGTTTTTGCAGTAGTTGTTGTTGAGAAACGTTGAGATTTGAAAAATCGAAGCAAGTTAGTGATTCTTTCGGATTGGTCCTTTTGAGCCGCACGTACCCTCACGTACCGCACGTAGGTCCAGCATTTTGTGAAGGCAAACGAATCAGACACAACCGAATCAGATAAAAGTTTTTTCGGACTAGTGGAAAATAGTGGAAAAACTGATGAGCCCCAATGTCACAACCGCTGAAAAAACAAAACTAACGAACGGTTTTCGGAAGCAGGTGGGCGGCCTGGAGAGCAGCATGGTCTGGTAGCTCTGGTAGCTCTGGTAGCTTGGGTGCGTTCAATGCGTTCGATTTGAGGCGACGATTCTTTGGAATCCCACAGTGGATAGGAGGGACCTCGGACGGTAGGAGTTCAACAACCCGACTCCTTGATACAGAGCTTGATGGGGTCCTAGCCAGTCTTCGGCTCTGAGTTGGGCTCAGGTATGACTACATCTACGAGATGGAGGTCGGGGACAGAGAGAGAGTGGGAGAGGGAGTGCCAGAGCAGTAGCTTTCGAGTTCACTTTCTTTGTTCCTTGTTCGAAAAGTTATAAAAACTTAGTTCCTACCAAGATAAGCCCGTAGAGATGCATAGTTCAAAAACCCGTTCTTCCTGCCCTTCTTCCTTTGGGCTTGCCATTTAGAAAGACTTCAAATTGATTTTGTTGCCTGTCAGGCGCTTTACAGTGGCAAGCAGCAGATGACTTTGGAGGACTGGTGTTACCGTGTCATGAAACTGTCAAAGAATTTTCGTCATGCTTTGAGCTTTTGAATGATTGAAACGGTAGCGGCATTTCGCCTGGATCATTTCTGGCTTTTATGACACTGCGAGTTGGTCTCAATGGACATGGTTTTGTATGTTTTTGTTCAATCATTCATTCCAAAAAGAGGATCTCCAAAGGTCGTGAAGTGTTTTGCGCGTTGATTGAATCTGATGCGCGCAGCTTGATTGAATTTTTCTCGACACCGCGAGTTGGTCTCAATGGACATGTTATATTTTTCAATGAATCATTCATTCAAAAGAAAAACAAGAAAGATGGTCTTCAAAGTTTTGCAAGTCACATTGATTGAACCTGATGCGTGCAGCTTGTTCACTCCTTAGGGTATGCAGTTGTTGTCGTTATTCTTCCTTACATTAGTGGCCCTGTCATGCTGCTGTGAGAGCAAAGCAACGGAAGCGAGGCAAGCGATGCCTGTAAGTGCTGTTCGTATGTTCATGCCTTCACTATAATACTATATTAGGAGTTCCATAACATGGGAGCCTCAAGAACTTGCAGAATTTTAAGCCGCAAAGCTTCCCAAGTACCATTCCAAGACAAGAATCTCCTTCGAGGAAGCAGTTGCATGGTAAAATATACGAACAAGTGCTTTAACTAGGATGACCATGTGGAAGCATATCGATTTTGATGGATTTTTGTCATTTTTTTCCTGCAGACAGGATTCAAAGTTTTGGAGATGAAGAAGAGATACGAAAGGTGGGACAACAAAGCGAAGCGGCCGAAGTGATCAAAGGGTGCTCTCCATGTAGGCATGCTTAACATGAGGAACCCTTCTAAAAGGTTGGTGCATTAAAAAATGAATGCATATAATTACTTGTATAGACATACTCAAACAGAAAAACATGCTAGTACTGTTGAAAAAGCATGGCCGGTAGTTGACCCATCCGATTTTGTCCAGGCGTAGCATCTATGATGATCCATGATGTTTGTTGTTCTTCTGGTTTTTGCAGCGAGAGGTCTACTACAAAGAAGTGGAAGGTCTATTAGAGAAAGTGCTGCAGAAAGCAGGAGAAAAGGTCGAACGAGTCGTTGCCTTTGACCATACGATGCTTGGAATAAAGTGATGGGGCTCAAACACAAAGCGCACACATACCTCCAAGATGCGTAAGGGGATGTTTTAGGCGGTATCTAAGAACCTTTCAGGGATTGTGTTCCGAAATTTGTTTTTGGGTTTCTTGTATAAACACATCTTAGTATAGGGTGGACGCCTCACTTCTATTGGCACAATATGCATGCATATCCACATTAGCGCGTAAATCGGCCCTCTTGCACGAGTTGCAAGCAGCAGAGGGCAGCTAAGCTAATCTTCAGTGTGTGGTGTTTGTGAGTCAGCATGTGCTCGGTATTGTTTGAATCCGCTGGGATTGAGCTTCAGCAGTTGGTCAGATATTCAAAATTTGGTTTTTCACCACAAACCCTACAAATTCTCACTACGCACATCACTCAGGAGCATGGATGTTCCATGATGTTCCTAGATGTTTCGCCCCAGTACTTTGGAGCTAAAATCCTCTGCTTCAGCACCTTCAGCAGCCTGAGGATTCGTTGCAGCAGCGCAAGTGGACTGAACACGTTGGGTGCAGCGAATGTGGTAGCTGGACCTGCCACCTTTGTGCATGCCGACTATTGCAAGGTGAGTTCTATTTTTTGCACTTACATGTCATAGGGCTCGAAGCGGTAGTTAGCGTATTTCGAACCCCAGAACTCAAAGAGTTCGTCACGATCCTTTTGCCGTTTGCAGCCATTGTGGTGGTGTGGTTGGTGGTGGGGTTGCCTACCGCTGCGCTGGCCGAGAGACGGTGAGAGCAAGAGCCAAGAGTCCCTCTTGGCACAGGAGGTTGCGAGCTAAAAGAGCGAAAGCCCGACAGCTTGTGCGAACCTGTGGAAAGGCTGCCCACCTGCCTAGAGAGATTTCAGTGCGACTCCAACGTGCTTATAAGCTGCTACAAAGCCATCACAGTTGGCCCGTTCGCTATAACCTCTGGATGGGAGGATGGAGTGGACAAGGGAAAGGGAAGAGTGTGAAGCCCTGGTGGAACCAGTGGCCCAACCAGCAGCAGCAAGGAGCGCCAAAGAAAAAGAAAGATGGCAAGACAGAGAAGCCAGACAAGGCCAAGTCAGACAGGGGAGGAGGGGAATCCTTTCCCTCCTACGAATCGCTGCTGCCCTCTTCGTCTTCTTCGAGCAAAGATGCTTCCTCCAAAGAGGTTTTAGCTTTGAAGAAGGAAATGAGGGAGTTGCTGGAATCCAGATCCTGTCCGACTTGCTTGGTACAGATCCGTTGGAAGATGTCCGTCAAGAGCAACGGACGCTCAACCTCAAGAAAAAGCTCCTGGCAAAGATGGACAAGCTCAAAGCAAAACACACAGAAAAGAGAGAGGCATGGAACAAGTTTCTAGATGCCCTCGAGGAGCACAGAAAGAAGGAGAAAGCCAAGCACCACGAGGACTTGCAGTCCTTGAACGAGCAAATGACGGAAGTGCAGAAGGAGATCAATCAGATACTGATTGGAGAATCCGGTGCCGACAAGGATGCAAGCATGGCAGGTGTGGAAGAGACAGAAAAGGAAATGTTGAGGCGGCAATTGGAGAAGTCGAACGCAATGATTCAAGATCTGCAAGCACGTGTCGAGACGTATGTGGGGGCATTGCCGAGCCGTCCAGATTTGCCGAACGAGAACTCTCCACAGTTGACCAAGCTTCCTTCGCTAGGACTAGTAGAATTCGACTCGTCTCTAGCAGCACGTACAGCCAGGGCCAAGGCTCTAGAAGCTGCCAGGCATCAGGTGGAACCGCCGGAAGCTGTTCGATCTCGGAGTGCCAGCAGGAGCCCAAGGAGAGATGGGTCCAATTCTCTCGAGAGATTCGACTAGGAATCAATGGTAGTAGCTTGACAGATAGTTATTGCTTTCAGGAATCCTTTTCGGAGGCCTTTTATCGGTTTGGAATGGATTTCAAGGGAGATGAGCAATGCTTAGCTGTCGGAAATCTGCCAGATGGATATGAGTCCAGTCATCATGTTCCTGTTGGCGCCATTGTTTTTGAGGCGACTAGGACTAGGGGCTGGAACGGGAATTGGAGTTCCAAGTTGGGAGGTACAGAGGTTTGCCGTTTGTTTGCAACCGACTTTCGACACAGGATTCCGTTGATAGATGATGGGAGTGCGGTTTTTGGGAATGATAGTTGTAACTCTTCCTTCGAAAAGTTGGAGAACGACTATGGACTTGATGCCCAAGGCATTGCGCAGGTCTGGACGATCGTTAGCGCTTCGTTCTTGTCTGCCTTGATTGTCCTTATTCGACGAACATGTCGTATTTTGGGCCTTTTTCTCTGCGGTCATCCCCTAAGGGGTTTTAGGCAGGGATGCAAACTCAAGACCGGGATTCGGACTTGGATGGCATTTTTGCTCATCCTTGTTATTGCGATCCAAGTGGTGGCCTGTCAGCTTTTTGTCAATGGCGGTGTGCATATCCGGCCAGACTTGCTTTCAGCTACCATCCAAGTTGAAGCAGCCATAACTTGTGGAGCATTGTTTGCCAGGTTGGGACTCCATTGGAGACGGGATCACATAGGTCCTTGCACCCTTGTAGGTACTAGGAGGTTTTCTCCTAGTCACCATCGGAAAGGCAACCTGCAGTATAGAGCGATCTTCTTTTGCTTTTGCATTTTGGGATCGCATGCCACAAAAGCAATTGAGAACATTAGGTTCTCGAACCATGAAAGCACTGGTCACGATTCCGTTGAACATAGTCATGATGTTCATGGTTCTTCCTTTCGTGCCCATAGAACAACCGCTGAACCTGAAGAAATAAGTGCTTTTATGTCAGCTCCTCACGGAAGCCGGGATACCTGTGTTCCGGGCTCCCATTCCAACACGGGGAGGGAGATGCAGGCCCTACCAGAGGCCGATGACCATCTCGTAAGGAGTGGTGAGCACCTTTCCTCGCCTTGTGAAGGTACTCACTATGAACCCGCTCTAGGTACGAGCTTAGAAGGCGAAGGCCAGCAATCCGCTTTCTTAGGAGCCAACTCGACGACCGTTGATGAGGGAACCACGGGAAGCGTTGATAGTAGGCCACCATTTTTGGGCGATTTTGTTTTCAGAGCACAGACACAAGATCTCAATGTCTCTGAATTGCGCCACTCAGCATATGAACAGCAGAGAAAAGTCAGGAACTTCGTGTTTGAGCATGAGCCGATTCGTGCCAAAGCTTGGTTCGCACCAGATGGAGGATGTTCTGCGGCAGCGAGAGATACTGATATCCCTGTAGACTTGTTTGGGAATGTTCAGGAGCATCTTTGTTCTGTCTGGTCTGACAAAATACCTATTCAGTCGTGTTCTGTTCAGTCTGTGTGGCCTCAGCCTTACGAACACTTTGCAGATAGTATAGTACATTTTCTTGCGTTTTCCTCACACGGCCCAGTTGCAATCTTGGTTCGACAAAACATTTTGAGTCATGGAAATCCGCAGAGAACTGATTTTTGTGCCTGTGCGGTTCCTCAGAAGATGTATCGGAGCGGCTTCGAACGTTTGTCACAGACATCCCTGAGAAGAGGCGCTCTTGTCGACTTGATAGCAGCTAGTGGGAAAGGTTGGTGTACTCTACGACAAGTCGGGAAACTGCCGGACAAGGAGTGGGGTAACACTGCAACCCACATGGGCGAGGATATGTCCTTCATGCAGGTGGCGAGTTCCTTTGCTTCCATGGTAGGACAAGCAAGATTCGAATATGCAGTAGAGAACCAATGTTCGATCCATCCGATTGCCGACTACACCAGGCAGAACTTCGTCAAGAAAGATGTTTTGAGGCAATGGTTTAGAGGGCTCCCACAAAGGGTCGATGGTGACTGTATTCGCATTGCTCTTTGGATAGTTGAACTACGCAAAGAGGTCACATATTTCTGCAAATATGTGTTACTGGATGACACCAATTGGTCCAGACAGTTTCGCAATATATGGAGGAATGATTTTGGCTTCAGCACTCCTGAAATTGCAGTGGTGGAGCCTCAGCCGCCTTTGATCAGCAATGCGGCAGAGATGCAAATCCATGTGTTAGCAATGGAGCATAATCGGATGCCAGTAGACCAAGTGGCTCACCTCTACGATATCTGGTGGACAGCTGAATCCCATTTCGGGACAGGACGGGAATTCCTGGCTCGAAGAGCAGTACGGACGAAGCGTTCGGCTTCGGTTTGGCAGATTGCGGAAGTGTTGGGTCTTGTGAATGTCAAGAAGGAACAGCACTTTTATGCCCTGCATCGCATGGAGGATGGTAGGCCTGCCATTAAGTTCATGGATCAGCAGATTCTACGTTTGCCCGATTTCTCATATGTGGATCTGATTGTTCACGAGCAGATGCTTGTACATTCGTGTCCAACAGACGGTGATGAACACGGCAAAGACGAGGGAACCTCTTTAGGATCACCGGGAAAAGCTCACCAGCCATACAGCCGAGAAGGGGATAACACTGCAACCCCTGTTCAGGATGACGATCTAACAGGGTTTATGCAGACTGCAGTTCAAATTGAGGCAGCGATGTGCTTTGAACCAGTTCGAACACCAATACAGCTTAGCTCGAGAGGTGACCCTTCTTGGCGGTTGTGGAACCATTTTGCAAGAGATAGAATGAGAACTTTGCCTCAGCTGGACGAGATGGCAGCCTGGTTCTTTCCTGAAGGTCACTTCGTTCAGTCTATTCCGTTGACGTTGTTTTCGTCGAGGCCAGGGAGCCCAACAGTCAACGATCCCATTTACCTCTGGGAGCACCTTGGCGGGAAGTCAATCCCGATAGTCTTGATGGTTTATCCCAATCCTGATCCGCTGGTCATGCCATATGAGCACCTGATCTTTCTACCACTGACAGCTCACGATGAGAACCAGAGAGCTTTCGTCATAGATTTGGTAGATCCACAGAGACTATCCAAGTTTCCTTTGGAAAGAGTAGCAGTACGTGGTGCCTTTCTTACACCGCGTAAGGTGGCGTCGATGCTTGGGTATAGATGCAACCGCTGCAGAACTGCTTGTAGAGCAAGAAGGGAACTCCCAACTTTTGTTGATGACCAAGAGATCCGATACCCTACAGGGTCGTATGTTGTCCTTTCTCTCATGTCTTCGGCGCAAGATAGCCCTGCACAAGGGCATCCGCAGTCCAGCACTCAGGAAGTAATTTGCACTGAAGGTGATGAAGCGGGACTCTATCAGTTTGTGCCACCCCCACGGCAAGGATCTCATGGAGACAGTGAAGCGTACTTTTGGGTGCGCAACACTGTTGTACATCAACCAGCCTTGCTCAACACGGTTCTTCGAATAGGCGTCTTGACTAATTTGCATTGGCCATTGATCGTTGTTCATTTGCACGGCCGTCCAGTCGAAGTCCGCACGTTTGGGTTTGAGGCCAGGGAGCAAGTAGAGTCAGATGACATTCGAACACGATTCCGTGAACTCTATGTGGATCAGTTCAGAACCGACGAAGTTGTCAGTGTTGGGCCAGTTGGGCTAGATATGCTCCAATATCAAAGAGTCTGTGTCCATACTGTGCATATGATTGCTTTCCGTGGTAGAATTAGCTTCTCAGCCAGGCCAATACTTATT